TAGAATTGCACCTCAGCAAGGGTGACACGTAAATTCGTGAGCGTATTCAATGCTTTGTTGCGTGTGGGACTATCCGTGTGTTGTGCACCTGAATGACTAATGAGACCCTTCCAGATCAAGAAACCAGCCTGGAAAAAGGAGCCAGGACGCTTGTGGTAGTGAAGCAACTGTCTTCCCCGTTCGGGTATGATATACTGGATATCATGTAAGGCATGCGATTAAGAATACATTGGAGAAACGTGTAAACCACTTTGTGTCTGCATAAAAAAACATATAGTGGGAAACATAAAATTTGAAAAGTACTCCTTTGGCTTTACATAGGGCACAAAAGCACAACGGCGATGATTTTGAACCGACTCTTCGGATTCTAAGCGCAGGAATGAAAATCATCAAAATAAAAGCCTCCTGAACAGTTTTGGACAAATTTCAAAAGTTCGAAGATGAACTGAAAAGACGAATGCTTCACTATCACCCGCAATATGACGCCATTTTTCAAATTGACTTTTTGGCCATGGTGGGTCACACTTGCCATCCCACGTAAACAACACATGAGTGGTCCTATTTCATTTCTATAACAGATCTTTACTAGCACTATAAAAGCTCTGAAGAAGGCGAAGTCACCGATATCTCAGCCATCGAAATACAGCAACAATAATAAGAGCTTGTAGTAACTCCCAACTCCGACTTTCTATTAACCTCGGAATTGATTGAATATATCTTTCTACTTCTGTTCAGCAAGCACGAGGTGCTATTTTATTTCTTTACTTGACATTACGCTTCCATGTGAATTCTGTGCGGTCGGTTTTCACGCGATATACTCAGTGGAAGACTCATAGAAAGCGGCTCTGAGGAAGGCGAAATCCGCTGAAACGTCAGCTTTAACGGAATAAAGAATAAAGAATAAGAGTAGTCCAGCGGGTTCTGCTTGCTCTAGGAACCCGTTGTTCATTATATCTTTCTTCCAGACCTTTCGTGAAGAACTCTGACCATTGGGTCGTTGGTCTTCTTGTAGCACGTTTGACATCCCGAGGAATCCAGTCACGTTTCTTGTCCATCGGTTGTCATTCATGCGCATTACTTGTCTGGTCCACCTTCGACTGTTTCGCGTACAGAGCGGTATCTTTGATCTGTGATCGCTGACGCAAGTCGGAGCTTCGGATCCCATCCCTTACTTATGTGAAACGGGATACTCCTAGCATCGTTCTTTCAACTGCGCGTTCGATTAAGCTGAGTGATCTTTCATCCTACTTAAGCAGCCACCAGGTTTCTGACGCATACGTTAGGCCAGGAAGTACCATTGAGTCGGAAAGGTGGGCACGGAGTCTACTGTTCTGTGTTCTCTTCACTAGATCCTCGATGCTCCTGAAAGCTCCCCAAGCCGCTCATTTCCTTCCGCTCAGCTCTGGAGCTAGGCCGTTCATTATATTGATTTTCCGACCTAGATAGACATAACTGGAGCGCTCGGAGATGTTCGTTCCGTTGAGCGTGAATGGGGCATGCCAAACCAATCCGTTCTTCATGTACATCGTTTTTGTGTGTAACGGCAAACTATCGATTTTCACTCCCATATTATCCCATAGCAATGTTCGCATGACGTTTTGGAGAGTAGTGGTAGATAATTTTGGCGAGATGGTATCGTCTTGGCTAACCTCTCTTTCGACGTTAATGTCAATATAGTTGTAGAATGGTGATACCTCAGTTGTGAAATTTTTGTACAGCTCACGAAGAATCTTTATATACTCAGCAGGGACTCCTTGACTATCAAGGGGTTCCAAGACTGCTTCTATCTCAACTGAATCAGAGGCCTTCTGTAAACCGATGAAGGTGAGACAGAGCGGTCTTTTCTACTCTCGCGACACTTCAGTAAGTCCTGTTATCGTGTGGATGTGGTCCACCGTACTAAATCGTTTTCGAAACCCCTGCTTGCTCAAGTGGCTGTCCTTCGTCCAGTGTTCTGTCAATTCTGTTTAGGATGACTCGAGTGAAAAGTTTGTAGACGACAGACCGTAGGCAGATTGGGCAAAAGTTGCCGATAACGTGTAGCTCACCTTCCTTCAACAATAACACGGTCTTGTTGGTCTTCCACTGAGTAGGGACCTTGCATTCAGACCGGTAACGTGTAAGGTGCCGAGCCAGTGTGTTTATGAGGACTGGCGGAAGGTTCTTTAGGTGTTCTGATCTTATCGTCTCCTTACCTGGCACTGTTCGATTTTTCACCGACGAAGTGGCACGTCGGATTTTGGAAGGGAGAACTGGAAGAGAACATATCCATCCTCCTTTATTTCATATGACGGAAGGTGGACGTGGGTAGTTATGAGATCTAAGTAGTATTTGTGAATCGTTTTCTCCATTGTCTTCCTGGACGCTTTAACTGTTCCGCCTGTACGTCGGAGTGCAATCATTTTGGTCTTGGAATTGGCGAAGCTTCGGTGTGCTTTATAAATGCCTTCCCGAGGCTCTTCAGCTTCGACAATTACTGGTGATCTCATTTTATCGCCTGTCTGCTTTGTTTTGCAAGTTCGGACGTCAGTTCACGGTTGCCTGGAGCTCATGCGATTCCCCGCTGGCGTATCAGCTCGAGTGTTTCTGGAGACAGACGTCTCTTGGTGGCTTTCGAACTCTCTGTTTTCATAGCGCTAATGTGAAGATATTAAATTAGCCAATCGTATTCTTCGTCGACGTCTTCGCTGTTATCGACAACGGCATTTTCCCAACAGCCGACTAGTGAATTGAATAAGTCCCAGTTTTTGGTGGTTCCGGGACTTTGGTTTTTGAATTCGGTGGCTTTTTCTCCTTTCGGCGAGAAATGGGATCTTGCACGGAGGAGGCGATGGTCTGATCCTATGTAGAGTGTTGGGACAACAGCGACATCGGTTAGGCGAAAGCTTCAATAGAAGAATGATTTTGTCTACTTCGTTATGACACCCTCTAATGTGAGGCTCCCAAGTCCAGTGTTAAGAGTGGGGCTACTGGAGCTAACTGCGAGTTACCATGAGTGGTCTTGGCCGTAGTGTTAAACTCAGACAATCACTCATCCTACTCGTTCAATTCTAATCCGTGGTCCCAATGTGGCGTTGAAATCTTCAATGATGACCTTGAAGAATGCGTGGTCTTCTCTGTAGAACTTCTTCAAGTCCATATTGAACGCTTCGACTTCTTCTTCGTCATAGTTTGATGCCGGCGCGTAAAGGACGAAGATTCTCAAAGCCGGAATTGATCCACATCTTTTTAATTATAAACGTCCGATTCGGGTTGTTGGTTGTTCGAATGAATTGATGTTCATGGACAAATTCGTGTTGACGGGAACACCGACGCCGCCAAATCCTCTACTATTGTATGTTTCGAAGAACAGTTCTTCTTCGGTGCCATAGACGGCGTTGGGCTGGCGTCTTCTCGTCTCGGCCAGGCCGATAACGTCGTACCTTATCCTTCTTCCTTGCATGAGCAAGTCTTCTATCGAGGGCTCGGATGCAAGTGTACGTGCATTGTAGGTACAGATCGTCACCATAGTTCTTTGAAATCCAGGCAGCTTCCATTGGCTCTGAGATTTTAGCAGACTCTTAGTACTTGTCCTAACCAACGCTTCGAAATTGGGGGCTCTTTCGGGGTCAGGGAAATGAGGCTCGTTTTTTTTTTACTGTGTTCAGCATTTTTGATACCCACGTATAGCTTGCTGGGCTCTGAACGTGGGGTCTGGGTATACTCACGGGTAGCTTGCCAGGCGCTCTCATAGTGGACATGGAGCTTATTTGTTGGAGGCGACTCCTAACCGCCTCCCCTATACTTCCCAGTCACTTGATTGCATGCTTTTGGAGGAATTCACTCGTAGAATACAATCCGCATAAGCAAGAACGCACTCACACTCGCATGCATGAATACACTTAACCAATACGGAAAGTATGTGCCAAATCTGCGCAGCAGAAATAAGTAGTCCATCCCCTGCATACACCTGCGTCTCAGGGAAGTAAAATTCGATTTTGGTCCGCGATTAACCCCCCTATCCACCACGTGGGGACGCGCCACGTTGTTTCCCCTCCATCTGGAATGAGATCCCTTCACGAGGGAAACCCATAGATTACGCATTATAAAAGTGATTAAATGCGAGATGATTTGCCGGAATCTACTGATCCATCAACTTTCTTCCTGCCGAGGGGCGCACGTGAACAAATACTACTGACTACGAATTAGTCTAGCAACTATGTGGATCCCACACCACCTCTAATCATTACGCTACATTCACCCATCTCAGGACCACTCTGCGAGGTAAATCATGTCCTACCAGCATTTAGTGTGCTACTACGAATGGAAGATCACGACGGCTAGACTAAAACATCCATTTCCTAATGTGAATAAGACTTCCAAACTCTAGGGCGCATTCAGTTGCTAGTGTGAACTACCGAAAACAATCTTCCGCAAATCTGGAATCAACTATCAGGTAGGAACACCCGTAAAACAACGTTCCAATCAACTAAAAAAGGATAAAAAGAATAAATCTCTCAGCGTTGATCAATCTCTGAGGGATGCGCCATCCATTCGGCTTTACTAAGCATCATTGGAGGATATTGAATGCATATCTGACCTTTACATAATGACTTGCGGTGGCCAACCGATATATCGAGCCAGTGCTTCTACCCTTCCAGACAAGTTTGGTACCAACTTGGTAACTCCGGAAGGGTGAAATGCTTGATGGACCGTGGGTGCAGGGATCGATTCTACGTGTCCGTTGCAGTGGCGCCTCCAACCACTGCGCCATACGCGCCCTTCAATCAACCAAAAGATCCAAAAGGTCGCTGAACTCGCCTGTTTCCTCCTATACCTATTTTTAAGCCACAGAAAATGTCGAACTACGAAAAATCACGTCAAAAGTTGTTTGTTCCTCTAATCCCAACATGTGGTTCTTTAGATCGGAAACATTTGGCATTCTTCACTGCCGTGCTCCCTTTAAAAAATTAGATATAATTTCTGAAGTTCTGCATGATTCACACAACATCACCTACACGTCATTTACAGGCCGTCCGTACAAACGCCGTTATATCCATGAGGAAATCCTTACCATCCTCACACTTTATGTGCTGCAACAGCTCTTTCCTGTTTCAAATCAGTTAGTTCTACAAAAATATTGTGCAAAATTTCGCATTTCCATACCTTGGGTAGGTGTACTTGAACTTCGACCCATCCTTTGCTGTTCCTCCAACCCAGGAACTGTTTTCTGTGCTGTACATCCAAAAAAGATCGATGGAGGGCCTTCCGCCACCAAGTGGTTGAAGCGAAAACTCGTATGAATCGTTCACCTGAAAGGTGTTGGTGAATATTTGTCTCTACATATGAAATGTATGAAATCCTTGAACAAAATTTCGTGCAGGCGCACCCGTCCAAGTAGTCTGGTGAGGCGAAATTTTGTTTCGTTGCTTTGTAGATGTGTGAGAAGACTTGGATTGTGTTCCTCAATCAGAGCAGCAAAGTCGACATCCTTTGTATGTGGAATAATGTCACATTCCCGATACCAACCTTAACAGAAGATCTAAAACTTAGGTAAAGAAGGACAATTTTACGGACCATATCTGTTTAAGAAACGCGAACCAGCTTTAAGATGAAAGGATGCGAACAAATATTGTTTTCCGACTTTTCATTTAACTACTAAGTGCTTATAAATAAAGCTTTCCTATATTTAAAGTTTAGTGGCATCGTCTTTCATTATACCAGGCGATTGGTTCTCATAAACGAGTAAATTGCTAAGTTATTTGAAAGCTGTAGATATAAAGGAAAAAGTACAAAATAATCCAAGCGAGCAAATTTTGAACGACTTCCCATTAACCAAATATTTACTGTGACCTCACGAGCTGTTCAAATTGAACCGACACGAGATTGTGGGTGTGTCTTTATCAGGTTCTCCTGACATTAGCACCAATTTTAGCCCACATATTTAAAGCGGCATTAAGAAGTATTAGCATCTAGACTCTTCCGTCAACAGGAAACAAGTCTATTTGCTCTGGTTTCTGAAAACCCTGTAGTTGAGAAGGCGATAAAGTCGTTAAAAGCAATTTGGGAACTGGATACTTTTTTGAAGTTCTCATTGTACAGAAAGTCATAGAGATTCTCAAAGAAATGGTATCTGGCAGGCGAGAGGTCTGGCGAGTATGAATGTTTTCGTAGCCAAGATCGTACAACTTCTGCATAGGCGATACTGTGCCATGTGGTCGGGCGTTTTTGTGAAAAAACATTGGTTCCTTCCTATTGACCGATGCTATGCGCAGCCGTTAAAATTTCTACTGCATTTTGTCCATTTGGTAAATGTACTTTTCCACTCCAATAGTTTCATCCGAGTTCAGGAAGCTGCAATGGATCTCCACCTTTTGGTGCAATTTCAGCTTTAGGAAATGTTCCGGAGCTTCATCGCGATCATCAAACCACTGAGGCAATCGTCGTCGACAGTCACACATGATCTGCTTCTTGTCGCAGTTTGCAATGCGGTACAGAAACGGATCGTTTTCATTACGCAGAGGAAACGTCGACGATTTTATTGGTTCTTATTCAATTGCTGCAGCAACCTATTTGTCCAGCTTCTTCGACGTCCCAATTACCTCTAAATGCTTCGAAAGAGCTGAGACGCTAAAATGAATTTTTTGCAGTCCTTATTTCTTTCCTTCTTAGTTTCTGGAATTTTAATCGTATTTCTTTCTGCTAAACTCTTTAAAACATCGTCGTAATAAGGGAAAGGCAACCGCGACGAAAATTTCCGAACCTGTATTGCATTGCCTGATCGAAAACACTTCCTTGGCCCTATATCTTATTAATGTTTGAAACTGTTTGCCTTGAGTTGGTTTGAGTTTGAAACAACAGATGTAGACTACTGATGGCACTGAACCATAGAACTAGCTGAGACCGGCGAAACGAGTGACCCCCATAGTGTGGTGATGAACGCGTTAGCCTCCGGCAAGGGTAATAGCGCGTTCGTCCTCCTATCCACACAGAACACCTGCAACCCGGAGTTTTGCAAACATCTCAGCACCTCTGTAGATGCAGATTTGCTGCAGTTACTGTTTGGATACAGTTAATTCCACCGAAAGCCTGCATTTAAGTGACTGGGAAGTGCGTTGGAGCTGGCTGGGAGTTCCCTCCAATAAATAAGCTTCTCGTTTACTCTGGGAAGACTGGTAAGCTATCGTGAGTACATTTAGTCTCCATGTCAAGAACTCAGCAGATTGATTGTACGTGGGTTTATGGGATAAAGGATTAAGCTCTCAGCGTTGACCAGTTCTTGTGGGATTCGCCACCTTTAACTTCGTCAAGTATAGCTAGATCGAAGAGCCTAACGACATATGGACTCAGTGCTGCTATCCTTCCAGACAGGTCCGGTACTAATTTGACAACCTCGAAGCGATGGAAAGCCTAGTGAAACCGGCTCGCGGGATCGAAACCATATGTAACCCAGGTCACCTCCAACCACTTGGCCACACTCTCCTTTTCCTGTAAGTGAGTATCAAACGATCAACAGAGTAAAATAGGTGACTGTCTTTTCCTTGACAGCGAAAGATCTCCCGATAGAGTAGCGTTGGGTTAAAGGAGTACGGAGAGGCTGCCATAATCTCAGGACCACTCAAGGGTTCCGAAAATGATAAGGTGACGTATTTGTATTTTTTATATTTGTAAGCCACACTGCAGTTTCATTTTTATCCGAGCCGCCAACTGAGCATCCGATTATTCAGGCTAAATGGATAAGGTGCGATGTCATCGAAGCCCCCGAGATGAGGAGATCTCGGGCATTCAATGTCGTCTCTGATAACGAAAAAGAACTGTTCCTTTGAGCATACATTTGAAGAGTCAGCGACGTCAGTGGTAGTAGTAGCTCTTGGAAAGGCAACGAAGAAAATCATTCGCGATTACTGCTCGGACCTTTTCAGTAGCCACATCCTTCTTCCACCGCATGAAATAAACGAGGATGGGAGTGCCCTCCCATTGGTTCTCACTTCCGAAATCCAGTCTGCTATTCCCGCTGAGAAAAGTCGAACAACGTCTGGCCGGAAAGGATAAGGCCTGAGCACCTGGAAAACCTTTCACCAGCTCTCATCGACACATTGGCCTGGCTCTTCACGCGTTACCTGTCGGAATGCAAGGTTCTTATTCAATGGAAAACTATCATGACCACGTCGTTGTTTAAAAAGTGTGGATTCCACTATATGGGCAAGTATCTCCCAATCTGCTTGCTATCTGTCGTCTACAAACTTTTCACTCGAGTCATTCAAAACAGGATGGACAAAACAGTGGACGAAGGGCAGCAATGTGAGCAAGCGGAGTATCGAAAGGAACTTAGTATGATGGACCACATCCACAAGGTGACAAAACCCATTGAAGTATCGCCGGAGTCTAATAGACCGCTCTATCTCACCTTCATCGATTTAAAGAAAGCTTTGGTTCAGCTGTGATAGAGACATTTATGGAAGCCATAGATAGCCAGGGGGTCCATACTCAGTGTGCAGAGATTCTTCGTGTTCTGCATAAAAATGTCGCTAGAAAAATACTACCATTCTTTAACGGTACCAATATCGACAAAGAAAGGGAATACGGCAAGGCGATGCCAGCCTGCCAAAAATATTTACAACTACCTTTGAGAACGTCACACCAACACTGGAGTGAGACAATATGGGAGTGGAAATCGATAGCCAGCAATTACACCACATTCGCTTTGCAGACGACATCGTTCTTATAATACCAAGCATTAGCCAGACCGAACAAATGCTGATTTTGATAACGCTCATAGGAAGATTGCACTTCGACTAGATCTTACAAAAATATGCTCATTAGGAACGGATTGGTTTCGGCGAATCCTCCAGTTACGTCTTTCTGGGTCGGGAAACCAAGATAATGAAGGACCTAGCTTCTGAGTTGAGCAGGAGAAAGCGAACAGCTTGAGAAGCTTCGGAAATTATGAAAAATCACAGACGCCGTCCTAGACGCTAAGTTGTCGAAGAAAAGATGGGCCGGACAGGTAATGTGCATGAACAACAACGATGGACTCTGTTAGCAACTGGATTCTTCGGGATGTCAAACACACTACAAGAAGATCACTGACGAGATAATTAGAGTTCTTCACGAAAATGATGCTCGACGCGTCCCTAAAGTGAACAGAGCTCACTGGGCTACTCTTGCAGGGCAGAGAGAAATGAAAGATTTACTGGCGTCCGTTCGAATCATTCAACGGCCAATGAGACGAAGGCTGAAGCAGGTGACTATTGCTAGTATTACTATTACTCGGTTATTTCTATTCAAGATTATTATTGCAAACCTAGACATCATTATATAACATGTACGGTCTTCACGACTCAGCTCACAGCACTATTCATCGAATAACGCTATGCAGTAATAATCACTCCCCCCAACAGTTTAGCGCCTCGTTGTAGCTGGGAGGTGTTCCTAGGTGTCCGGCTGCGGTGTACAGCAAGAAGATTCGTCTCCACGGCAGATTCTCCCAAGCTGAGAAGTCCGGCGTTTTCATCAGGAACCTTAGCTAAGAGTAAGCCAATACCAGAATCCACCACCACCCTGGTATCAAAGTCGCATGGTGGTAAATCTCCCTCTGACCCACAAGGGCTGCGACTGCTTGTGGTAGTGACGACCTGGTACAGACTTTCGCCAGACTAGCCTCGGGTTTTTGGGGAACTACAGTGGCTTAACCAGCAAATCTCCGAAAAATGGGGATTATGCTGGGGCCCGCACAATTAGTGAGGATGGCCCTTTCAAGTACCAAGTAAGTAAATAATAATACTCCTTACTCAAGCCTTTGAAGAAAGTTGTTTCCCCGAGACCTTGGGCATAGAGAATTTAAAAACGCGTTAACAATCTCGAGTGAATTCAACTAGAAGAGCTGGTGAGAGCGAAATAGTTTGTTAGTAACAGATATGTCTCTTTCATAGCGTTCAAGAATTACTATTCATTGGGCAGTAAGGCTCCCGTTTTCTCAAATGACCTTTGTTCGAAAAGCAAGCCAATCGTCAATCATTTTAATTGGCGAAAAACAATGTTGATTTGAAGACATAGAAAACATGAATTGACACGAAGCCAGTCCAAATTCTAGGTGTTAACTCAATGATGTGCTATGAGAGAATACTATTAAAGAGCACTTAGCATTTGCAATCATACAAAGGTCAGGCCATACCTAACAAGGTGCCGCCGCAAAGGAATGGATATATGTCGAAATCCGTGAGATAAGACATGAGAGAAGACATCGTCTGCAGCGTCTTCTCTAATGGAAGATAGCGACTTTGCATACTTCGAACGACCTTCATCCCTCGGCACTGCACTAACTTGGAACGCTTCCAAAACTCGAGGAAGCGCTTTACGTCCCAAGGAATCGAAAGATTTCCATGGACCCAAACGGGTACCCTGAATGCTAATTAGAAAAGTAACTATTTTATCGGCAGGACGCTTCAAGCTCTTCTCATTCACTTATAACTTTAGACGTAATCATTGTGATGAAATCACCACAGCACGACTCAAACAAACCAGTGTAATAAATAAGTAGAATTAACGGAATTGGAATGAGCACTATTTCGACGTCGGCTTTTTGTTAGCAGGAATTTCCGAAAAAATTGAAAGCGTTTTCTTTTTCACTACGGTTTTGTCTTGGCACATAAAGTGGACTTCTGCTGTCTTCATTCATGATAATCGAGTTGGTCGTAAGGTAGTCACCAAACGTTTTTTTAGCCTACTAGGCTATAGATACACTGAGTGGTTATGGCAGTCCATCCACGCTTTTTGGAATCTTATCAAAACTCTTTGACTCTGAAGTGCTGCTAATCGCAATCATATTTTATTCCGGACGACAAATTGGCTTAAATTTGATTTCCGGAACTCGAGGGATTTGAATAGTTAGCGTAGAAGTTGATGAAAAGTCCGACAAGTAGCATTACTACTCACCTTGGAATGATTCTCGTCGGTAAATCGTAGAACCGGAGGTGGTCCTTGTCTTTAAAATTTTCGTAAAACACAATTTCATATTGAAAATAACTCTCTTTTTCAACGGACGTCAACAGTCGCGTATTTACTCCCAGGCGGATCATGGTAGGTGTTCTTCCACATTCAGTTCGATTCAGACTTTCAATTACTCTGTCGTCAATTAAAAGCGCCGGGAACGGAGGGTCGATGCTCTCCAGCAGGTTTGAGCAGTTTACCTGCAAGCAGTATCGCTCTAACTTGCTACTTCTAAGCTGTCATTGAGAAAATTTGCGAAAATTGGGCATCGGTCAGAATGCAGGATTTATTTTGAGATCGGACGAAAATCATGAAGTCAGACACGACTAGGATAGCTGTCATTCTTATATTCGCTAACTGTTAATCTATCGGTTAGAAATTTGCGTCATATTTTTTTCTGATTCAACAATTTGTTGAGTTTGTTCTATTTTGCAATGAAAAAAGGATAAAGCTCTCGGCGTTGATCATTCCCTGTGGGAAGCGCAATGTATTCCACTTCATCAAACATCGTTAGAGCTGATTGAATGCATATCTGATCTAAACAATGACTTGCAGCGGCCTTCTAATATATCAAGTCAACGTTGTTAACTTAGGCAAGTCTAATAGCAATTTGTAGAACCCGGAGAGATTAAATGTTGAGTGAACCCGGGCGCGGGATCGATCCCGTGTTAATTCCAGGGAGTCTCTAACCCCTACGCTACACACACACAGGTCCCCTATTTTCTTTAGTAACTCGAATCTTCACAAATATTTTCTTTTTTTACTACTTGTTTATTCCGCTCTAACTTTTTCATGATAAGCATAAACTGCGTACACACCCCTAGGAATCAAGTCGACACTTGTACATTCCCATGAACAGCTAAAAAGCCTGACATAGAGCTCATTCTTTTACCTCAAATATAAAATGGACACAGTTTTGTCATGTTTATAACTTTTAAAATTCCGTAATGATCGAAACAATTTTCCGGATAATAGCAATCTCGTGAAGACCGAATATTCGGTGTCGTCAAACCATTACGGCCGCCCAACGCCGTACGTCACGAATTTGTTGCGCTACGCTTCAGCCGTGCTCGGAGGCGCCTTGCAACACACAATCAATCCCCACACCCGTGGCCAACCAAGCCTTCTATCCCTCTGGGGTAGGCAAATTGGTACCAGACTTGTCCGGAAGGATGGCAGCACTGACTCGATACTGACTCATCATCAGGCCACCGCGAGTTATTGTAAAGGCCATATATGCATTCAATCACCTCCAAGCGATGATTCATGAAGTAGAATGCATGGCGCATCCTTCAGGGATTGATCAACGCTAAAAGCTTTATCCCTTTCTTCTCTTTATGCTTCAGAAAGTTTTAATAGCTTAACCTTTTTATTTACTGCCCATTCTTTTCAACGTCAAGGTATTTTTCGAAATATAACTACTATAATGCTGAGATATTTGCAATACTCCGGACCGCAGGTGTATGCGGTGGGGAACGATCGCTCTATTGTCCTTTCTGGTGAGTAACGCGTTCACCACCACAAATTGCGAGTCCTTCGTTTGGGGTATTTTATAACGGGAATCCCGTTGACGGGTGATTGCTGATGGCAAAAGATCAATAGAACTAGCTGAGAAACAGGCGAAACGAAGGACCTGCATGGTGTGGTGGTGAACGCGTTACTCCGCGGAAAGGACAATTGCGCGTTGGTTCCCCACCACAGACACCTGCTGTCCGGAGTTTTGCAAATACCTCAGCATTATAGCAGTTATATTTCCAATAGCTTAATTCGCCGAGAGTTCTGTGTTTCGCAGTTTTCACACCAGGTTTTTTGACTGAAAGAGCCACTTAGCTCCGGCGTTCAGCGACTCCGCATCCTCTCTTAACCATTAGGAATACGGTTAACAACATACCATCATATCTGCTAAATGACTATCCATCATGATCACTTGTAGTGAGTCGTTATCCGTCATGATTGTTTTCTTCTCCATATTGTAATACTTAAAAAGGAGCATGGAGAAGGCAGAAATTGAGCACAGAACCACGAAAATCAGAAGAACAAACTGCATCTTCTAAAAAAAAGAAAGGATAGAATACTCAAAATTCTATCGACTGATTGTCCACCTTTTAAGTACATTCAGCGTTTTGCATTTAAGTCGTCTAATTACTACGGAGCGGCAAGGTGCTAGAGCTCTTGACAATCCGACTCTTTGAATCCATGATTTGTTAAAAAAAATCAATGTAAACATCACAATGTAAGGTCTAACTACTTGCTTGGATACTTGGACGGCCTCTCTGCACGAGTTGTAGGGACTCCAGCACGTTTGCCATTCGTTTCTTTGCCTCGCAATCGTCGTCCATGGTGGTGGCATCGTTCGAGCATGGTAGCGCGTGCGAGCCTCATACCGTGGATCTGTACCACAACTGCACCAGTGTTTACGGCCGACTAACTTTGGTTACGAACACATCCGCCCACCGTGTACATGGCCGTCCTTGGAGACACCAGCACTCAAGTGGAGTCCACTCTACTGTTGTTTTGGTCCATCTCTCGCCCGTTCTTCTCATTATTTGGCCTGTCCATTTTTGTTTTGCTATCGCTGTATATCATTCTGGATCTCGAGGACCAAAGCTTCGCATTCCGGCTATAGAGAGTGCCGGTTATATTTTATAAGATATCGTTCAATGGTTCTCTGAGTAGTGCAGAGTATTCTAGAAGTGAATGAAGTATCAGCCCACACCTCAGCTGCATATAACAGAGCGCTGGGAGGACCGCTGAATCCAAAAAGTGAGCGCTGGTTTTCGGATTCTTCAGTTGCTCGTCTTCATGTTATTTTCCATGTTCATTGATCGTCCAAGGTATACGTAAGAGGTGTTTTCTGCAAACACAGAGCCATCCATTTCAATTTATTCGCCTTCGCACCACGAATTTTTCCTGCACTCTGTCTTCTTCCGACTTATGCGCAGGCCGATCTTTTTTCCCGTTTCGTTGAGCTCGTTGATCATCGTCTCTGATTTGCTGTTACTTCTTGAGAAGATGACGATGTCGTCAGCAAAACGAAAGTTTTATGGGAATTTTCCACAAATACGTATGCTTTTCTTATACAAATCGAGTGACTCGATCATTATCCATTGTAGTGCGGCGCTAAACAGCTTGACGATATAGTGTCGCCCTGTCGAACCGCTTTTCCTACGGGTGTGGTAAGAGGTCAATGGAAAAGCTGTGTTTTCGTAGTGCACTTTCGTTAATAGTCAGATAGAGTTCTTATGTAGGACGGGTCCACTCCTTAGTCGACGAGCGCTAATAAGAAGGTATTTGCTTCGACACTGCCAAACTGTTTTTCATAGTCGAAGAAGGTTAGGACAAGGGATAGGTGGTATTCCCGACAAACTTTAATGATCCTGGACTTTGTTTGGATGTGGTCCACGCAGCAAAATCCTTACCGAAATCCTGCTTGCTCCATCGGTTGAGCTTCATCCAGTGTCCTTGATAAGCGCGAGAGGATAATTTTCGTGAAGAGTTTATAAAGAACACTCAATAAGCATACCAGGCGACAGTTACGAAGATCCACTAAGTCTCTTTCCTTGGGTAGGATGACCGTACACCACGTCCTTTACTGGTATGGGATTTTTTTCTTCTGAAACTAGACTCACATAGTTTGCGAGAAGTACATGTAAATTGTGGCCTCCAGTTCTAAGGAAATTGGCGGTGACATTGTTTGGTCCTGGAGCTGCGCCTCTTTTCATGCTTTTTATCGCAACTCGATCTTCCGACGGAAGAATTTCAGGTGGTTTTTCTCCAGCGGGGATATTAGGGCCCGAGGCGGGGATTGTGGGACGGAAAGGGATGGTGCAGAACGTTTCCGCTATTAATTCCATATCATGGTAGGAAGCTTTGACGATATCATCATCGAGTCGTCAACCACATGCGACTATAATCAGCTGTTCTAAACTTCCTCATTGGAAGTCACACGAAAAAGCGGCTCTGAAGAAGGCGATACTGCCGAAAGGTCAGTTAGCGTTGTATTGTATTGTGTTTTTCTATGGAAGTAAATGCATGCTGTTTAAAAACCTCGCGATTGCTGAACAAGAAAACGACACATTCATATTCTAATGCCGAGCTTAATAGAAAGTCGATCTTGGTATCATCTTTGTTCATCAGGGCTGACAGCGGAACATAATCATGCAAGTCACGACGGCATTTTTTTAGACTGGTTCTTCTCTGTGCTGCTTCCAGTAGTTTTTTTTGCCTGTACAATTGTAGATCTTTCTGCAAAACTCTACTTCAGTTAGCATTTCTTACTACACGTCTTAAATGTGGTGAAGGAGGATCAAGTTTAAGTTTCCTTTCCTTCTCGTGCAACTGAATATTAATGGAGATGCGCTCCGATCTTCTTGTTTGGGGAATTGAGGCAAATTGGGCATACCCTTTCAGTGCTTCGTAGTCTGTGGCCGGGTCTTTCTAAATCTGCCAATTAAGTTTGGATAGGGTTTCGTTCAGAATGTTCTCGTCATATACAGCTTGACTTTCTCCTCGTCATCGATGAAATTAATTCTTTTCCAGCTTCTGTCTGAATTGCATCTTGACGCGAAGAAGGCGGTGATCGGAACCAGTACAGAATGACGAGAATGTCGATCTATCAAGTATTCACCATCTTGTGTTTATCAGAAGATAGTCAATTTCTGCATGAGTCATGCCGTTAGGAGACTCCCATGTCCAGCGGTGGCTTCATTCTTCTGGAAAAGCGAGTTTCCATGGAAGAAACGTTCTGCTGACAGGAGTCCTGCGAGACTGCGCCCATTATCATTTCTTTCTCCTAATCGAAAATTTCCGATCCTGTATTCGCTTTCGTTGGTCTTCCCTATTCTGGCGTTGAAGTCTCCGACAACAAATTTAAGATATGCCATTGCGGGTGATCTCCTCCAACTAATAGTAGAACGCATTTGATTCGTACTCATCAACTGCGTCTGTCGGTGAGTAGCAGTTGATGATAGTGATCTTCTTATGATGCGACAGTTCAAAAGACGGCCATGAGGGCAGAAGATCTTGTACGAGTCGACGAGGTGGACATTGGACGGATTGACGACAAAGCCTATGCCGCTGACATTTCGTGAAGGGGCCGTTTCTCCTCGGATGGCAAGGGCCCCGTGGTTCAGTTGACCTGTGTCGGCCTTCCTGCTTTTTGATTCTTGCAGAGCGATAACATAAAATTTAATGCGATCTACGGCTACAAGAAGGGTGTGAAGATCGGCGTCTGTGAAGAATGTTTTGGCATTGTACCTGCAGAGCAATAAACAATTTCCATGGCTTGTCGTGCATGTGTTCGCCAGATCCGGCTCCAGTGGTGTCCTGCATAACCCGAGATTTTGTGCCCTCTCACGTGCATGGTTTAAACAGGTTAACAATCCACAGCATCTCTTTTTCTCAAAGCAGCATTTTATTTTCGAAAACTTTCACACTAAATTATCGCGGTAAGCTGTTGTTTTGAAACATGCGATGGGTTACAACTGCTTCTCTGCATGATCACGAAAAAAAGGAGAAATTGCATTCCAGTATTCTGCTTTCCATTCATGAGGTTCTTTAGGTGAAAAGAATCACAAATTTAATTTAAACTAAGATCACATTCACAGCACGGGCAGGCTCAGTTATCCTACAGTGGTCACCTACTGATCACGACCTACGTGTTCACTTATTTGACCCACCTGTTCTCAGGCTTTTCCTAAACGGCGAAAACGTGGATTTATACTTCAGCTATATTCAAAAAGTTATGTGGGTACACAAACACTCGAGTAACATCGTGTGAAGATGGACCGGTACCCTCATCACATCACATCACGGTTTCGGTAGTCCAGATCTCCGAAGAAGATCCCATCTTCCATGTAAAACAGAATACGTCTCCATTACTAAACAGCAATGGAAGATTTGCGTAATGCTAAACAAGGACCCCAAATGAGTGGGAAGAGCAGTAGAGTGATACTCGAGATAATCGAAATCACCTGGTCGGAGACCATCAAAAAGGTGGACCGATGTGTTTGTCACAGATGAAAACCAGCGGCTTTCACTGTTGGCACCAACCCTAGGTCTTCAAACTATAGCTGTACTCACACACGGATAGATCGCCTCGACAGATAACGTTCACAAGACAACGAAGAGAATGAAATAAGTGGTGACAACCTCTCGACACAAAGGGATGTGTCATCCAAATCCAAGTAATTAATTAGGTATCTCAACACCGCCCCTGGCTCACGAAGCCTCTCGCCGCTCCGAGATCTGGAAATTGGTACCTGACTTGTCTGGAAAAAATTAGCTCTCCGCAATTTAAGTGGGAACGATCAAGCCAGGCTATCCCAGGACTCGAGAGAGAATCGATTAGAATTCAACGACATTTATAAAGAAGACGACAGTGCTCAAATAGCAGGGGAACACACGTGCAAACAGTTATAAGACCTTGGGTGACAGATGCGATGAAACGAATGGAATACACGAAGTGCTGGGGCTCTCACATTAAATGTGTATTAAATGGTCGTGTAAAAAAAGTTATGCGATAACGTCGTTTTTCAGCTGGACGGATGTGATATCGCTATATGATTTTGGTCCTAGAGAGCTAAAAATTGCCACGGTATATCGAAATATTTTTTGAGAAGAAATCCATTCCAATGAACATTTCTTTAATCATAAGTGGATTTTCGTATATGAGAGCGAGGAAAAGAGGAAACGCCAATTTGCACGATTAGTATTACACTGTGACAGTATACATTGGCACCAGACCATTAATTTGAGCTTGTAATTAAACACAAACCCAAAGAAATGGCTAAAACACAGAAAAAGGGCAAAAAGAAAGTGAAAGCACTGTGGTAAAACGTACTGCGTAGTTTCGCTTCTCGCGAAACACTCTAAATTTCCTCCATCGGTGCAGAACGACCAACTTGACCAAGAGATTCATCTTAAGCGGAAAACTTGATGACAGCAGTGTACCTGATTAACTGAACATTG